GGGGGATCAACACTGAGGTACAGGGGATCAGCATTGAGGTTTGGGGTACAGGACGTGCCAGCATTGGGGTGCAGGGGTGTCAGGGTTTAGGGCAGAGAGAGGATCAGTGTTGGGGTGCAGGGGGATCAGCACTGGGGTTTGGGGTACAGGGGGATCAACACTGAGGTACAGGGGATCAGCATTGAGGTTTGGGGTACAGGACGTGCCAGCATTGGGGTGCAGGGGTGTCAGGGTTTAGGGCAGAGAGAGGATCAGTGTTGGGGTGCAGGGGGATCTGTATTGGGGTGCAGGGGATCAGCATTGGGGTTTGGGGTACAGGAGGTGCCAGCATTGGGGTGCAGGGGGATCAGCTTTGGGCTGCAGGGGTGTCAGTGTCAGGGTTTAGGGCAGAGAGGGGATCTGTGTTGGGGTGCAGGGGGATCAGCACTGGGGTACGGGGGATCAGCACTGGGGTACGGGGATCAGCATTGGGGTTTGGGGCACAGGGGTGCAGCAGTGGGGTGCAGGGGGATCAGCTTTGGGCTGCAGGGGTGTCAGTGTCAGGGTTTAGGGCAGAGAGGGGATCAGTGTTGGGGTGCAGAGGATCAGCATTGGGGTTTGGGGCACAGGGGGTGCCAGCAGTGGGGTGCAGGGGATAAGCTTTGGGGTACAGGGTTTAGAAGCGGGTGCCGGTGCTGGGCGTCGTTCTTACCATGGAAAGGCTTTTGCGAAGCAGAAAGGTTTTCCTTTGCCGTGTTTCTTAAAGCTGCTTGGACTCCGTTGCCTGATCCCCCGGTGGCAGTTTGCGCCATTCCCCTGCGGGGCTGTTGACTGGCCGGGTTGGACCTTGGGGGAGAGCCTGGGGCTGGCCGTGGGCAGCTAACGTGTTTGCAGAGGGGTTCAGCCCTCGCTGAGTTCTGAGCACGTCTCCTGGCCAACAGGGTGGTTAGAACAAACGGTTGGGGGGAAATGGAAGCCCAACTGCTTATCTGAAGCAGGCGGGACCCAGCAGTGGACTGTGGTTGCTCGTCCCTCCCTGGGGCTGTGATGGGACGAGTATGTTTCCAGGAAGTGGCTCAAACATCCCCCCTCTCCTCGCCCCCAGCAAACTGCGCGAGTCCGTTTCTGATCCCAACCAGCTGAAGGTCCTGACCGGGGACTGGTTCTGTGATGTCCGCTCCAAGCGGCACCGGCACAATCACTTTGGTTCTGATCTCGTCCGGGCCTCCATCCGCAGGAAGAAGAAACCCAAAGGTAAGAGCTGGGCCAGGGTCTGGCCGCTGGGACCGGTGCCCTAGCTGGGATCTCAGTGACCGATGGAGGAGAGGTGCCCGCCTGCTCTAGTGTGATGCTGTCGCCATCTAGTGGCTGCAGCTTGCAGAGAGGCTGGGGTAGGACCCAGCTTTGTCCCATGGGGACGCCGTGCCCATGATGCCCCGATTTCAGGGAGCCGGGAATCCGACGGTGGGATGGGACACGGAGCGGGAGAGGTTGCTTCAGTCCCTTTAGATTTCCATGATCCCTGTGAGCAGGTGAGCGGGATCCGAAGCGCAGTGCCAGCGTGGGGGACCTGGAGGTGATCAGTGAGCCAGCGTCCGAGGAGGAGGGCCCGTTTGAGGTGCCAGATGGTGAGGACAGGTGAGAAGCTTTTTGGCTTAGAGGCCCAAAGCGGAGAGAGAAGGAGCTGTGTGTATGTGGGTGGGTGCGTGCGTGTGTGTGTGCATGCGCACGCCTCTTTCCACTTGTGCGAAGGGAAGGAGTGTGCATTTGTGGGTGTCGGTTTCCTGAGGCCACGCACCCTTTAGCTGTGCGCGTGATGAGAGCAGCGAGCGGGGACGGCTGCAGGCGGTGACTCAGGCTCCGGGAGAGGCGCGTGGAAGGGGCTCATTAGTGGGACATAGGGAGGGTTTTGTGGGTGAAGGAGACTCTCTGGCTGGAAGCCGGGTTAGTGAGGGACCTGTTGCTGCTTGCATCCTCCCTGACTGTAAGGTTGTTTCCTTCCATGGGGGACGGGGGGAGGGACAGGGAGAAATGGATGGGGCAGATAGGAGGGAGGTTGAGACAGACAGCTGGGCCGGTGTGGGAAAGAAGCCGAAACGGAGGGGGAGATGAATAAGTGGGAAGCCAGCGAATGGGGGCGGGGAGAGCCGGCCGGACAGCCCGAGCCGGAGGGGACCCCCCTTTGGAAGAAGGGTCTATGAAGAGCAGGGCGGTGCACACGCTCCTTGGGGGAGGAAGCCAGACATCTTTGTAGCCTGGAGAATTGTCCAGAAAGACTAATCGTTTTCTCCTCTCGCAGGCTTCCCCAAGAGGCTGTTCATCAGCTCCCCCAGCCCACAGAGACTCAGGTCAGTTGGGCGACAGGGGATGGATCACTCGATTCGCTGGTCTGTTCATTCCCTCTGGGGCACCTGGCACTGGCCACTGTCGGAAGACAGGATACTGGGCTAGATGGACCTTTGGTCTGACCCAGTAGGGCCGTTCTTATGTTCTTATGGGTCTGGTGACATGGGCGAGTTAGAGGTGTCCTGACAGGAATTCCCGCCCCGGCTTGTCTCGTCAGGCGCTCACCAGCAAAG